GTAAATCCAGAAGTACAAAATATCCTTCACAGAGTCGTGAAATCTGCCTCGCCCCAGCCAGCTCTGAGTCCAAAGGCGAGCAGCGAACTAATGAACCACACGGAGAAACATACGCTGGAGCGGATAAGTCCGGCACATTCGGCTTATACGTCTTTTATTCGTATTTCCTCTACAGTTTTTGCTTTGTTTTGTTTGGCCCTTTTCAATAGCAGGAAGGTGTGGGTGTTTACAGTCGATGTAAGCCGGCAGGGCAGGGCTTGCCCCACTAATGTTTTGCTTACCATACAAAACAACACACGCAGTGATCGGAAATGATATTACGTATAAACAGACACAGAGAAGACTTCAGCAAACGCGAATAAAGTATGTCGGGAAGAAGGTCATACACAAATTATAAAAAAACAAAAAATGTTATTAAAATTTCCCAACAACGTCATCAAGTGTGGCCCATACAGTTAGTAAGTAACCTGAACTGACAGTTATAATAGTTGGCTCAAACGTGTGAATAAGGAACTTGACATGAGTAAGTTACTCCGCTAATCTAAAACAAATGTTAGATTTATTGTAACAATTAAACGTGATAGGGGTTCTCCATACTGCTGAGGATCAGATTACAGACATTCGTCTGGCGTCTAGTCATCATTTCTTTACTTCCCTTTTCCCCCTTATAGTTCGTGTGCCAGTTGGTTGAGAGATAGCAACTATAGAATAAAATTAAATATGGCTGCTTTGACCACGGTATACATGCGATTTAAAAAAAGAACGAGTCAATGTTACCATTTGTATAGATAGAACAATGCTTTTGAAATCAGTACATGCCCAGTTGTATGTCCCTGTTCAATAAAAGAAGGGTCAGACATTATAGTGATGTATGACCGGCATGTATTTGCTTGCATGAGCACTTAATATACACACGTGCACATACTTATACTCTGACACACTAACAAGCAAATGGACGAAAGGGTATTAATACGAGTTTGATTACGCAGATGCCAGAGTGTATGAAGATGAGCACAACCACACCTACAAATGCCATAGTGCACACACAGTACATACAGACAGACACACACACACACACACACACACACACACACACACGCGCGCGCGCGCGCGCGCGCGTGCACACACACAAACACACACACGCACGTACAAACACATACATACATACATACATACAAACACACATACATACGAATACACACATACGCACGCACGTATACTGTTTTATAGTAGAGGGTTTTACGGCGCTCGCAACTGCATAAGGTCATATGAGCGCCAAGGGGTGGGCGTCAACAGAGAAGTCTTTACAAGGAATCAGACTTACTCTGTTCACCTCTTTAGCGTCAACAGCACAAGGTCTGCTTCAACTATCAAGGCACACCGGAAATAGCAGGTCACAAGAGAGTG